AAATCCTGTTGGGTTTAATGACTCTTTTTTTATTGATTCATGGAATGAAAGTCCAAATAAAACTCTTTAGATATGATCTATTAAATTAAAATAACTCATGTGAATAGCATCTAAGGCACAATAAAAAGTAGAAATTAAATAGATGTTTGCAGCATCAGATAAATCTAAAAATAGAAGCTACTCTTCTCATCATGCGAGGGTTTTGCATGTCCTTACTGTCTCTAAAGAGTATGGGATCCTTTTTTTCCCCAACATTAATGTTGAAGGCGATTGCTTGGCTTGGTTCCCTAGATCATGGTCTTTAGCTTTGCATTTGTATTCTGTCTCTCTGTTGAGGGTCTAATATCTATGACCCTTTGAATGTTACTGACTTACCTTTGCTTAGTGATATGATTAGAATCTTTTATGGGAGTGATACCAGAAGAATACCACTCTGCCACGGTGATAGGGTTGACAAGATCCCCTCTCTTCCCTCCCTTCTAGAATATGGGACCAAGTATACCAGTATGAACCCTTCCCTCTCTCTTCCCTTCTGTTCCAGTGGTTAATCACCCTCACTGTGAAGAGTATTTTCTTTATATCTAATCAGAAATTCCCTTGCTCTAATTCGTGTCTTTTGCCTGTTTTCCTTTTGTTGTATACCTCAAATGGGACTTCGACTCACTCTTCTCTCTACCTATTGAACACTGGATGAAGTGCAAATAGATCCTCCTTTGCTTTTTCTTCTTCAAGACAAACATCTGCAAGTCTTGTGCTGGTGTCTCAAAACTGTACATAGCATTCCAGGTGTTGTCCCCATGTGAGGCAGATATTCACTTTCCTTGACCTATGTAAATTTATATAAATATAATTGTTTGTTGTTTTTATGTGTTTGTATTCCCATTTTATATAAGTATGTATAGTTTGAGGTGATTATTCACCTCTACTCTGTATATATATGATTATGTATAAATGTATACATTACATTTTATATTCTCTATATTTATTTATGTGTATGGATGTGCTTAGATACATCCACACACACACGTACACCAAAACAGGTATGTAAAAGGGATTTGCCATCCCATATGTAGTCTGAGTAGGTACGGATTAGAGGGCAGAGTGTAACTGAGCCTGCTGTAGATGCCTGGTTAATGGCCGTCTGCTTTTATCCAGTACGTACAGGCAAACACACACACAGCAAGTAAAGATAATACTTTTCAAAGTTCCCGAAGGGAGAGAACTTACATGAAAGAGTTGCAGGTGTATTACATAGCTGGATTTGTTGCTTTGGTTAGTAGCATTGTTTTCCTGTGTTAAGTTTGATTAAAGTATTTTTATTTGCTTTTGTTCATTTGAGTATTTTCAAATTATAATAGATGCTGGATTTTTTACTTCTAGTTTTCAAGACCTGAATGAACCACAATGAACCACTTCATTGTTTGCAAATACATGTTTCTTATGCAGATCCTGATTACTACAACAAATAAATATTTGTAAGAGTAATGTTTGATTCATGCCTGTTGAACAGTTTATAATGTGCTGACTCAGTGACTGAGAGGAGACCAATCCCTGTAGAAAGTGCCAAATTTAGTATAATGTGTGCAAATGATGGATTTGCATTAACAATTGCTCCAGGTTCAGGCTTTAATTCCTAAAAATTAATCTCTGCACTGTTGTTATTACATAGTTTTGAATTTTACTGTCTGGATTCAAATTTTTCTACTTGTCCAGCTACTGCTTTGGCAATTTAAGGGGCCTTTTTCCCTTTAGTAGCCTCTAGGTACCTCAAGTCTAAAAGATTGACTTTCAAAATCATGTTTCACTATCTCCAGAGCTGCTTCTGAAACTGTATTGTGGGGCAGTACGAGTATATAGGAGTCTTGGCGCCTGCAGTAGAAAATGAGATGCTTTTGGGTTGCTATAATGCAGTTTAAAGATGTCCTTGCACCTAAATTTATACTCTCTGCTCTTTGCATACTCCTGGTTGTCCAGGCCTTAGCCTGCAATACAGTCTTAGGCAGTACAATTAAGAGTGACTCCAGGGCTGAGTTTCAAGCCAAATTTGTGAGTCATCCAGACTATTGACCATCTGGAACAGCTCCTGGGCTGGCTCTGAAGCAATCCAGCTGGTACTCAGGCACTCCCTGGACCACTCTGTGGACAAACTCAGATGTTGTGTGCCCAGCCCAGCTGCTGCCTTGTATTCTAGCTATCCTTGCATGAGTGTCACATACCATGATACGAGATGGCCTGGACTCCTTCCTAAAAGGGGCCATGCATTCTCTTCCAGAAGAAAAGATGACATTTAAATGCAACCTAAATTCAAGCCAAGTTTTTGCTGCTTACAGAACTATAGCTTAGCCTGTGGGTAAGGTACAGTATAGACATAGCCTGTGGGCCTCAGATCCCCATAAGTAACACAAGGAGAGATATTTCCCTGTCATATAAGGGTGTTGTCAGGATACAGACAAGTTATTTTCTGAAACACTTAGATGACACAGTTTTGAGGGATGTGCCAAAGACAGAAATTTTATTTTTTTTTTTTAAACTGAATTGGGATTTATCTGAGTAAATGAATAGTTTTCATCTGAGTCTAATCTAAGCTGGTCATCTGTGGCCATGGTTCTTCTGGCCTTCTTAGGTGTTTGCTTTAGGAGGAGGAGAACTGTGCCCTAGAACATGTCCTCAGTTGTAAGTGGATGACTAGCTCAGAAGTGGACATTTACAGTGGCTTCATTCAGAGCCTTGTTGTCTAATACTATCAGGTCACAGTAATGACAGTCCATGTGTATTCAGACAAGTTGGTTGTGTATATAGCTTCATTTTGATAAAGTTATAGGGGAAGCCGTAGCTAGTTCACAGCAATCTAAAATACTGCTTGGTTGTTATGTACAAAAGACTAAACTGTATTTTAAGGCACAACCTCAGAAACTGGGAATATGACTCCATAGCTCCAGGAAGGATCCTGAACAAAGGTGATTAGAGAATTTCTGTCAAAAGAGATTTATCTAGAGAAAAAAGCTATTTATTAATTTGTTTGTCTGTGATATCTTACTAATTATTTTATAATGAAAATTCGGTGACACGTGATGAAGGATTCGTACTACACCATATACCAGTAAGCGGGGGGGGGGGGGGGGGGGGGAATGATGAGAGCTATCTTGCAAGTCTGTCACTTCTTGCGGATTTACTGGTAAATTCAGCTATGGTTTTTATAAATCCTCCAAACAATTGTCCTCATTTTAAAACCTAACTTCTTTTCCAATTTTAGTATACTTTGCCAGTAGACAAGTATGCTGTTTTGATGGAAAATGTAAGCTCTTTTTAAGACAGAATGCTGGTTGAGAGTATCCTCAGCCATTGGCTGCTGTAAGCTGACTGTGGATGATTTTCAAGCTTCAAAAGCTTTGCTTCTATCAAGACTGCATCTGTGGACATTGATCATGTTCAGATCTGCTGGAGAATTAAAAAAATAAAAAAGAAACCTTTAAAGTTTGAAAGGGTCTGACTTCACTGGAAAAAATAATCAAAAGTGGTGTTACCAACAGCTAGGTAGAAGCTGGCAGCTCCTGCAATGCAGCGTGTCAAAGTTGCCATCTCCCACACTCTTATTAAAGTTTAGGCCTAACTTAAATAAAATTTACTTTTAAAATTAATATTTTTAGAGTGATTTTATATTACTCTTCCTGAATTTTTAAGATCTAAATATTCCTGAAATTTCATCTCTCTAAGCATGGATTTCCATACGAGCTCCTGTAATTGGCACAGCACAGAAACAAATATTTGTATGAAGAAAGGTGTTTTTTCAGAGATTTTCACACTTTCACAGATTCATTCTCATTCAACTTTCCTTCATGTTTATTGGAAAAAATACAGAGATAGAGTACCCTTGTTCTCCAAATATAATGCATTTTTCTTTCTAATTCAGTTTATATCTGTAACATTTATGAGGTTACTATGAGCAGAAGTAACTGGTGATCCAACATCCTAGAAAAGCATTCAGGTATCTCCTTAATTCCTGTCGGGCAAATCCCAGGAAGTGTTGGCTTTTTAAAGTGTTGGTTGCATTTTTCCTTAGTTTTTTAAAAATATATGTAAATCCATAGAATATAATCTGATGTTACATTTTTTCTCTGCATTCCAAGGTAGACAGTATATAGCTTTATTTTCACCTAGAGTGAATAAAAAGGATTGATTCTTGTGAAATCCCTCCTGATAGGAACCAGAAACAAACATAAGGCAATGCAGATACAAGGGGGAAGGAGTAATGCCCTGCTTATGTACAAATTGGGAAGTTCATTAGGAATGACTGGTAAGGGAAGAGCATAGCTCATGAACATATGGGAAATCAGTTTACTTCAGAGAACTGAGGGTGAAAGGAAGGGATGTCTGCTTTTTATTAAAACCTGAAATGCATTATAATTGGCCTGAGTCTTTGCCCAGATGGTTTCTCTTATGCTGACATCTGCAAGAGTGTATATAAAGCAACATTAAGAAGCTGTCTCTTGTGACAGTGTGTACACATGTAATTCTGTTAAAAACTAAGTCCTTTGCTATCTGTAGTCTTGGTCTTTGAATAAGCATGCTGAGAAATGTCATTTGTTTGACAAAAACTAATTATGGAACATGCTTTTTACATGGAAAGTTTCTACCACATATGAGAAGACTTTTTAGGGCTTTTCACTTGTTTTTGTGGAGTCTTGTTCATTCTTCATCATGAATTTGAGGTAAACTTTTTTTTGGCAGGGGGAAACAGAGGGTTTCCTCTTCCAGTCCCTTGTATTTTTTTCTGAAGTTTAAGTGTAATTATTTTGAATTTTCACATGTGAATTTAAGCTATTTTCCACTGACCAGTGAAAAGCTTAAATGATACTAGAATGTTCATTTCCTATTAAGCTGGTAGGACAATGACAGTGATGCAATGTAATATATCCATTAGTCTGTTCACTTGTATCTGTAATTCATAGGGTAATACTTTTTGAAATAAGCTGTCAACATACTGCTTCTTTCTTTGTCAGACAACAGGAAAATTAAAGTAAATGGCACCAGGGAACCTATTGAGTTTAAGACAAATCAGTGGTTTGGGGCAACAGTCAAGGCTCATAAAGAAAAAGTTGTGGTAAGTCTTATGCATTTGGTATTCATTTGGAGATAATGTTTATTTTTCTCAAATTTATGTCTTTAATAGCTCTCTGTGTGTGGATTATGGAAACAACTCTGATTATACATGAATTATAAACCAGATGATGTATATAACTCAAAAAATGAAAGCAATCTATAAAGTCAGGTTGAACTGATCAAGTGAAGATGATCCCACTGCCATGCGAAAATAGCAGAATGCCATATTGTTATGGAAGTGAATGATGACTTTTTCTTAAACAGATAATGGACATATTTTAGAGATACACAGTAACTGATAGCTATATGCTATAAAATGTTTTGTATTATGAAGCTTTAGTTGCAATGGTAAATGCAGAATGTAATGGCAGCCAAGAACCTGTGCTGAAGATCAAATAGTAAGAGAAAGCGCTGACCTCTTTTGTCACATTTACATTATTTTGAACTGCTATGTCATAGTCATGGTAAAACAGCTGCAAAAAAGTCATGATAAAAAAGCTCCAAATCAAGATTGCTGTCAAAGTGCAATGTCTGTTTTTCAGTTTCACTGAACATTTTACCTGTATTGATAGAAGGCCCCAGCTGGGAGCAAGTACTCTTAATGCTTGGTAGAGTAGTAGTGATGCTGCTAATACACATACATTTTATATTTAAAATTTATGCACTAAGGTTTACATTGAAAATGTCGCTGAAATAATTGTGATAAGAATAATTTGTTTGGTCAGTAGTTAGTTTTATTGGGTTTTACAATTGCAAAGCAATAATTTGTGTCTTGGGATTTGCTTAAAACTTCTAATTATTACTTAAGTAGTAGTCACAATGGAAGAACTATCTAAAGGAAATGCTTTCCCTTAAATAGTATGCCTTGTTGTTAACCTAGAGAAGGATTTTGACATGAAACAGGTAATGAATAAAATATCACCCTATTCTTTTACAGAGCTAGCATATACTGTTAATTCTCTGTCACTTATGTCAGTGTTATCATAGCTCTCAAACTTCCTGTTCAGCGCCTTCATGTACCACTCTTTTGTGTATGCACTTTCTATTTAAAAGTTAATTATGCAAAGAAAGTCTCCATAAGAATAAATATTATGTCGCTTTTCTGAACTTTCAATGTAAAAATTCTAAAATTAGCTGAAAATTTTTAATTTTACATACTGTACTAAACAACAGTTCACAAACTGAAATAGAATCATTCTTTACCTCCATTTGCTGAATCTTAATCAAGTGAGCAGAAAACATCATCACCAACTGATGTGCTGTGTCTGTACTGACCAAACTTTGTTTTGCTTCTGATAGCTCTTCTCAGTCTCTCTGAAACAGAGGTATGGTCAACACTTTTCAGGCAAAAACTTGAACAATGAAGCTGGAAAACTCTGTCTTTTAAGATTTGTAGGGTCAAAGGCAAGAAAAAGAAAATGTAATCAAACTGTCAGAAACTTTTTTTTTAAACTACAAGTGTGGTAGTAAACTGCATTAGGTTAACATTTATGCTTATATAGAATTCCTGTTTAAATCCATTTTGCTCGATGTCAAATTTACCTGAAGTCACCCTCACAGGACACATACTCCTTTTTGCTGCACTCTGGTTTTGCTCTCTGATATGTTTTAATCTGTAAGATCTTCTAGGCAGGAGCATGTTAAGGGGCCTTGGTCCTTAAAACAGCATTCCAGAAGCTCTGGCTTTTATGGTAAGCTCTGAGTAGCACAGTGGTTCATCCAGCTGGAACTGATTGCAGAACTAAGGCTTATACAGTAGGATGAATAGTAACAATGCCTTGCCAGAGGTGGACAGGTTTCTGATTGGAAAAGTAACTCAAGGTAGGACATGAATGGAGGATTTGTTTGTATCTTACAGAGGCAAGGTTGTAGGGAGAGGTAGTGTCTTCTCCTCCCCAAACCAACTGACAAATTTTAGGGCACAGGAACCCCTGAAGAGTGACCTGCATACCTGACAGCTTATCTTTTCTATTTTTCCAATTATTTTAATTGCTTTCAAAAAAGATAAACTCTCTCTCTACACAACTTGTGTATCTTTTATCCTTACACTGTCATCTTTGTAACACCTCTACCATAATACAGAAGGTTAAATATTGGTTCACTAGCCAAAATTTATTTAGCAAAAAACTGTTCACTGAGAGACTGTTGAATGCATTAGAGCTGTATCATCTCTACAAATATTTGAACCAGGGGTTTATAAGAAGGCAGACAATCTGATGATTGTGATAGACAATATGACAAAACACTGACAAATCTCCTTCTGCTGAGTAGAGTCATAGCAGTTCTACTGCAATGGCCATTATCTTAAGACATACCAGGACAGAAGTAGGAATGTCTTCAGCCACATATATGTGATCTACATCTTAAACTATGGGATCAAGTTCTGTGCAGTGAGCAGTGATAGAGGAAACATATTACTTGTGGAGCAGGCTTAGGGGGTATTTGTAACATATGCTTAAAAGTGAGCTGTAGTGCCTGACAGATTTCACCTGCTAATGGCTATAAGTGAAAGATCAGACTATGCTTTTCAGGTTATAATGAAATTATAAGAAGTAATGGTCCTGCATTTTCTTCTGTCACTATATTATGATCATTGCTACGTGAATGATATAATACCAGAGAGAATTCTTGTACGCTGTTAAAAACTACATTTGCCAGATGCATGAGTGTGTGAAAGGTACGTGTGACATCATTTCTGTTTTGATAGGCTTGTGCTCCCTTATATCATTGGAGAACCCTTAAAGATAGCCCTGAGAAGGACCCCGTTGGCACCTGCTATGTAGCAATTCAGAACTTCAGTGCCTATGCTGAATATTCACCTTGTCGCAATAGTAAGTATTAATAGGAACAATCTTGTGTTGGAGGAATTGACATTGCACTCAATGTTTTCATTCTTTCATTCTTCACACAGTCTTGCTTGAATGAAGATTACTATATGACATTATTGAATTGGATGAGGGTTTAAAGAAAAATCAACATTAAATTGCATGCCTGCAATTGGATGCTTTATTGTATAATTGAAAGAGAGGAAATTAAGTAAATGAGGCTTGTACAGTTATAGTGATGAGATAGAATTCATTCAATTTAAATGGCTTTAAAATGTAGCAAACAGGTCTAGATAAGAACCAGACAGCATTTAAAACCAATTACTCGTGCAGATGCTGAGTATAAATCTCTCATCACAGGATCACCCTCTGAAGAGCAGACCCTGCACAGAAAGACACAAGCCTGTATCGCCATTCATGCCCATGTCACCCACAATAGCTCATTTATGAAGGACTTTCAGCATGGAAGAACGCCATGCACATTAGCACTGCTGTTCCACATTTTTCTCTGTGCTGTTGTGTGGATGTGGTAGCAATCTCTGGTCCTTACTTCTTGGGGAATAGGGAAAAACAGTGCACGCATATTTAGAACCAAGTTCAGTTACCTAGAGGTCTGCAAAAAATGCCACACATTAGATTGAATCAGTTGTACATCCTGCTCAGCATCCTATGTCTAAGTGTTTCTGATGATTATTAATACTCTCATTACCTCAGTGCTCCAAATTATTAAAATCAATATGAAGTATCCAGTGACATTACTGAGCTTTGGACTGGACTGGGTGTACAGCAGTTTCTGCACTCACAGATCAGAGAATTGTTCTTTCAGTTACTTTTCTAAAGGTAATCTGTGTAAGATAGCAAATATAATGCGCTTACCTATCCCTTCCAGGGGAAATCCTCACAGCAAAGCTATGATGTTATTCAGTTTAGCTGAGATAGGTAGCTGTCTCAACTTGTATGTGCTAGCCAGTAACACAAGAAGTCTGAATGTGGTGTCTTGTCACGATACCCTTTGTACAGAGACTCTGCTATTGCAGCTTGTATTCTTGCCATGTGCACATCAGCTAATCTCAAAACACACCTTTTAACTGTTCCTCTACTGCAAACTGAGCTCCTGCCTTCAAGTTTCTCATGGATTATTTTGCCAAGAAAGTAACAGGCATTTTACAGAAAAAGTAGACAATTACTACACATAATTAAACAATCTCTTTCCTGTGAAGATCTAGAGACAGCATCATATCGTGCAGCTGGATTTTCCTGACACCTGACAGATGTGCGATAACATAGCCCAATAATGCTTTTCATGGTCTACCAGAAAATCTGCACACCTGTAGCAATGTGAAATATTTGCATGTACATTCAGTGTTACTCTGCGGCTTTCCTTTTCTCACATTATAGTACAGCTCTAAACTGAGTTGTGCTGACAAGTTTTTTAAAGCCTAATCCTTGTCCCTGGTACAGAAGAAAGCTGAATATGTAAGAAATGGTGACCATAAGATCTGCTTCATATACTTCTGATGTCTCACTGGGGCTTTGTCAAAGGCTGATGCCATTTGAAGAGGGAGTTCAAGTGGCCATTGCTGCTCTCAGTCTCCCCATCTTGCAGACTTCCAGCACTCATAGGAAAGCCCTAAAATGCATGCCAACACACTTTGTACAATTATGTAAGGATTTGGAGACTAAAAGTAAAAATGGACAGAAGCAGGAAGGATGTTTTTATGTGTATAAATATGCATCCAAAATTATATTACACTTCAGTCCTCATTGAGCAAATGTGTATCAATTAAAGGGCTGGCCCTTGTGAAGGACATGTGCCCTTTTCACTTGCCTTAGTACATATAACCAGGATGTTGTCTGAACATTGACCCATCCACTATGTCAACATTTTTTAAGAATCCCTTAGTAAACACTTACTTTTCTGTTTATGGCACAGCAGACTGTGGTGACCATTCTAGTATTTCTTGTTAAATTGTTTACTTTTGTATCTCCAGCCAAATTCAAACTGAATCCCTGGTAGTTGTTGCAAGGGCCCTTCCTTGCTAACAAGAGGAGAAAGTCACAAGTAACTAGTCCTATTTTTCAGAATCTTCACAAGGGGACTGCATGTTCTGGGTCCTGTAGAACGTCTTGATTTGCTCTGCTTCTTCTAAAAAAGAATACATATCTTTTCACATATTTTGGTAGTTTTTCATTTACAGCCTTACAGCTCCAAGGATGTCTAAGCTGTCTTCCACGTGCACTGTGAAACTGATAAAATGCTTCTACCTTCATAATTGCAGGCAATGCAGATCCTGAAGGACAAGGCTTTTGTCAAGCTGGTTTCAGCTTAGACTTTTACAAGGTGAGATTCTGCTTCTGAAATACTTTGACCACATGTAATTCTGATATATCTCCAGTGTTCAAGCACTGTCTCAGTGATCAAGAGTTTATCCCCATGCTGTTGCATATGGAAAGTTTCATGAAGTTGTTTTAAGTTCTTTCCTCTGCAAACTTTGGACTTTCTGGTTTCATTAATAAAAGAAATACTCCAATCAGCACCTGTTTGTCTCTTTGCAGCACTCCAATCTGACTCTGCTCAGTCTATCTTAATAGATAATCAGGCAAAAAATTGCATGTGCTTTTATCTCAATGTGTCCCACTTACGATGCTTTCCAGAGACCTGAATTTCAGGAAATTATGGGCAGGCATCAGCTAGTTTTTAAAGGTAAAATAGCTTGTATAAGGATGCTTTTGGAGGCAGACCAGTCATTGATTAAGACTGTTCTCTTGTGGAGGTGAAAGTGCTTAAGGGAAACAGCTAGTTGTTCTTATATGCCAAAAGGGTCCAGAAACAATATTGTGGGCCAAAGAATAAACTTTGCAACTATTGTTATTGTCTGTGCCATTATTACAGCACCAGAACCTCACATAATTTTGATCACTGTCATTGTTTTCAGTCTTCTGCAGTTACATTGTTATTCACATTATTAATAGCTGAGGAGTAAAGACGTCATTGTAGGGTAGACAAAAGTATATTTCGCTATAAAGCATTACTGTTGCTTCATTGAATGTGAAGACTGTCCTTTATACTGACTTTGTTTGTTACAAATAATCAACAATTTTTAGAATGCTATGTTAGTGCTACAAAAATTATGGCTTTCATTCAAGTGAAGATGCATAGAGTGATCTTAACTTTATTTAACTGTGGATTTTCCTTCACATCCATGCACCTACATATTTTCCTTGAACTGGGCTATTCTCCTTCATCATGATTCTGATATTCTTTTAGTCATTTAAATTGTTTTGCCCATGCATGCTTAATTTTGTTGTGTTCTTTTGTTGTGTAATTTTATTCAATTCTGCTTTTTGTAGAATGGAGACCTGATAGTAGGCGGGCCTGGTAGTTTTTATTGGCAAGGTATGTTCATCTGGCTGGTTAACTCGATCTAAGAAGTGAAGCAGAAAGTGTTGTGGAAAATGTTGTTCTAGATTTCCATTGTTTTCTCAGTTTAAGATGATAGCCAGTCTCTGGTCTTATTTTCAACAAATATAAATCAGAAGAATTGCTTAATGAGCAACTGAGCATAAAAATAAGTCAGGGAAAATTCAGGATGTAGGTTGTATAGGAAGCGAAACAAATAGAAATAACTATTTTTATGTTGACATTTTAGCACATTTGTCATTTAATTAATAAGCTGACTTTTTCTCTAGAAATACTGCAATTTATAAAATAGCTAATATTTGTACAGCAAATGAAATATTTTCAAAGTTTTTGTCACTATTTGTTTCTGAACACAACCTTTTTTTGCTATCTGCATATATTTTTAGTTCATTTGTGGCATCACTGTAGTTTCCAAGATGTAGTTTCTCATGTAGATAAAACCTGAAGTGGTTTGGTAAAGGGTTAAAAGTGTATTTTTGCTTTAACTTGTTTTGACATGTATGATGTAGCGGATTCCCAGATTCTGCCTACTAGCTTGCCCATTGTCAGCCTTATTGATGTGTGGTTTTGCATTGCTATTAAAGGAGGAAGATCTAGTTGATTATGATGGTAGGGAATTCATAGATTTGAATTCTCCATTGAGAAATTGCTTCCATTGGTCTACTACATTTGTACTGTACAGCATCAAAAGGTAGCTGAGCCTGAAAATGCTTGACTTTAGTTTGAATCAGTACCTTGAAATGGGTCTGGAGATGTTTTTGTGGTGATTCAGTAGAGTCTCAATGCCTTGTTTTATTGATTTATGTGTACTCTTGAGACTTTCAGGGTGATAATGAAGAAAGATTGAGAGAAGATGTCTACTCTTTGCATCTGTGCTATATTATCCCTTCAGCTCTGTTCTGATGTTCTACTAGCCCTATTTTGTAGAAACTGGCTCTCCTTTATGTCCCTTTCATTTATGAAGTTGTTTGAATCCAGGTCAGGTAATTACTGCAAGTGTTGCGGATATCATTGCAAATTATTCCTTCAAGGATATTCTGAGGAAACTGGCACGAGAGAAGCAAACAGGAGTGGCACCACCTTCATATGACGACAATTACATGGGTAAGCTAAGCTCTGTGTCAGTTACAAATGTGTTCTAAAAGCATGAGTCTTATATAAACATTAAAATAAGCCCTAAATTGCTAACATCCCGATCGTGAGAGGATTTAAACATGGTTTGCCTTAAGGACAACTGCAAATCAGTAGTTTGCTAGTTACTTCAGTGGGATTATGAACATTCTTAGAATTGTGCACAGCAACAGGGTTTGAAGGTTGAGATCTTAAATGGCTCATTAATGTTATTATTTGATCTTAAATAATTAAGTAGAAATACAAAATGTTCCCATTTATGTATTTTTTCATTCCAAGATGATGGATTGAGTTTAAAGTAATTAGAGACGATTTCAATTTTTAATAGATAAAAGAAAATTCAGTTCTACCATATTTTGTACAGTACTACACGAATGGGCAGTTTATTCTCAGTGATATTTAAAAGATACAATTGAAGTAAGCAATAACAAAAGTTAGTTTGAAAATACTATGTAATAAATAGAAAAAAGGCTCTTTATGTACCTTGTATTAGTACTGATCGCTAAGAATTTGCATGATATTCACATGTCTCTGCATGTAAGAGAGGCTTTTCTTCATGTAAGTATAGAAAAGATGCAGTAGAATTTGAAGGCAAACATGCATCCTTTCATCTCTGCCCATATATTTGAAATGACAGTCCCTGATACAGTCCAAGAGTCTTTACTCTGTCAATAGCAATTATCTCACAGGTTTACTAAAGCTCCAGGAGTTATTTAACTGCATCTTTGGAAATCTGTCTTCCGTATAGAGCTAAAACAGGATACTCACACATTACAGTACAATAATGAAGACCTAAATTGTATCAATAGCTGTTAGGGAAAACTACCATAGTATCTGCTGTTTTTTCAGATTAATTATTAAGTATTAATGGTTTAGAAACTTATTTCTGGAGAAAAGGAGTAGATTTATTATACATTCAGACCTACAGTTAATTTAGTCATAATAATGTGATAAACTATTTTCCTTTTCTCTACACAGTTTTAGTATACTAATGTTAGAAAATTTGCATTCTGATGGTCAGGTGAACATATAAATCTGATTGTCCTTGCATATTTTTTGAAAGAAATGGTTTATCAAGTGTTTTGCTTGTAATTTATCTTTAAACAGGATACTCAGTGGCTGCTGGGGAATTTACTGGGGATTCTGAACAAGGTAAGAAGCTATATACTTGAATGGAAACCATATGGTTGTGCACCTATTAAATTCTTCATTTTGGGTCTCTACGCAGGAGCATACCTTTTATGCATTTGAAACACTAATGAGACTTAAGCTATCTGTACCCAGCGTTCTCAGAGGCAAATATTTCCTTAGAAGGTATAGCATAATAGAGCAGAAATTAAGTAACCCAAAAGTCTGAATCTGTTATGGTGTTGGGCCCATGCACCTGTTCAGCAGTTAGAGCTGTGATAGCATGGGAGGTGGAACCATCCAGGCTCACTTAATTTAGCCAGTTTGGTGACCAGCAGTAACAAGTGGAGCCAACAGTGCAATCTTGTACAGTCTTTCAGTCCATACTCAAGTTACTCACCTGCATAGAGGCTGCTGGACCTCAGCATCTACCTGGCCAGATGCAATATAACTTGAAAATGTCTTTGTATGCTGAAAGCACACTTCTGATTGCCACATAAACTTCACAGCCCAGGCTAGGAGATAACATTCAGCTGCTTCTGGGCAAAGACAGGCGTCTACACCAGCACACTGGCTCTTGTTGGTGAAAGCAGCTCTTGGCTCTATAAAAGTTTCCCTAATTCCAGTTCATGTGCCTTAAGGATGGGGTGCCTGGGGCAGTTTGTTAGCTGACCCTTTTCATACATTATATTTTCCTGCACGGGCAGAATGCAGTAAGAATAAGTTCCCTGTGCTCTTGCTCCTGCCCTAAGCCTTATATTTAACATCAGGAGACAGAAGAATTTAATTTCTTTTGTTAAAACCTGGGCCTAGAGGGAGAGAAAACATTTTACAGGAAGATGAGGTGTTCAATTAGTCCCTTGAATTGGGGAAAGCTGAATGCACATGAATATAAATATCCAAATATAGAATCATGCCTGTAACTTTGTAAAGGTTCTTGGATCAAGTAAGTTTGATACAGGACGTATTTAGAATAATTTGCATTTAGACAGCAGCTGTCATCCACAAAGAACCAGACATCCACAGACTTAGTAGCATTGCTTAAAAATGTCATCACTGTGAAACCTTCACCTAAAATGTTTCATGATCTGTAAAACACCACCTTCTAGAGCTCTACATTCATTATTTGATAAAGTAGAGCAACATGCACTGAGGAACAGGTTTTCACCAAAATTATGGGATAAATATTTTTTTAAATGTGCAGAATGTCATTACATAACTTAGAATTCACCTCAGACGTTGAGGTTCAAGTTGTTCCCTCTGGCAAAAGGTGACAGACGATAATTATTAGTTTCACATGGCCCAGAAAAACTGCCCTGGAAGGTGGCAGATCCAGTAACATAGTTCTGTAATTCTCTAAGGCCAAAGTCAGAGCAATCCATCCTACAGGAGCTAGGTTTAGCAGCAATAGTTCCTGGAACAACAATGAGGCTTTAACTGAATACCAACAAGAGTTAAACTTCACTTAATTGATGTGCTGAACTTATAGCACAAAAAGTGCTGTGGCAGGAGAACAAAAAACAAGCTGATCGTGATCTGATTTTTAAATTGTAAAGTAGGTTTTGCAAGTGTCTTAGAAATTGAACAGTAGTTTTTCTGTGTCTCTGCAAATTGAATCCAGTGTGGAAGAAAAGCTCCTGTCACAGCTGTTTGTTTGGTAGAGTATGTTAAAAATAATCAGTTATAAATAGAAAGTTGTCCATGATTTAGCTATTTTCAGGTGTTCTGAAATTGTACAGGATTTCAAAACATATAGGTAGCTGAAAATATCTGTGATCCCTGGTGTTTCATACCTTAAGAGCTATGTTTCTTGTGTAAGGCTGACAGTATGTCAGAAAGTACTGCTTTAGGGGTAGCTTTCTTGAGGGAGTGAACAGCTCCGTGGTCCAGACTCATAAAGTCAGTAGAGACATAGTACGTTTCCAGAAATGAACCCAGCTCCCCAGAACTGCTGCTGCTTATTCCTTATAAAGTTAGAGTTTCCTGTCCTGGGTGAATGTGTGTTAAAAAAAATACAATAATTTTGAGCTGAATGCTATAATGTGGAAAAAAAGATATGTCCCTGGTAATGGAAGGCTGCAGCCACCTTTATATATGTTTTTTTAATTTTTTTTTAATGCATGCTCACATTTTTATAATCAATGGTTCTTGAATCAGAAAGTCACATAAATGATTGGCACAAACAATTGCATTGTTGGCTGACCTGGGAATCATCCTGTGTCCTTTTCAGTCCTTCATTACTACTTCCATCTCCCCTTGATCAAGCACATTCAACCGCAGGGAAGTATATAAACCCAGAGAGGAACAGAAGTATGCTAGGTCAATACAAGCAGGTGTCTGAGGGGCTCTGGTATCTGAAGTTCCTGCTGCTGTCTTCTGATGTGGATATCCTAATGAGGGAAGGTTTAGACAGTGAGACTGCAGGCTGTGACTTTGCTCTTCTTTTTTTTTTTTTCCCATTTTTTCCACTAGTTGTTTAAGATTTCACCATTGAGAAGACTTACTTCCTAGAAGGCAACTAGATGCAATGTTTCATGTTCTTATTCAATGGATTCCCCAAATGCCACTTATAAAAATTTCCTTGTAATGCTTTTAGATAGCCCATGCAGAGCTTGTCGAACACTTTCATGGCATCAAGCCAAATAATAGATGAGACAAACTGTTGCGCAGCCAGAAAGAAAAGGGATATTTGTAAGGACAGTTGTGTTTAGTTTCTGTACTGTACTGTGTGATGCCACAACTAATTCTGGTTCCATCAATCCACAGCTGTCAGGTAACAAGCTGAATTGTACTAAGAGCTTTATTATACTCTGTTATACTAAGTAATGCTAGGCGGAAAGAGATCTCTGTATGAGTGTATTCAACAGTTAAGATGTAATACTTTATGCAGCTAGATGCACTGAATGAATGTTAAAATCTTATGAATTAATGTCTTGAAGTGATTTGCAATTGTTTCTGATACAGATAACAAACCAAAATCCTAAGGGTTATATGTCAAGGAAGAATTTAAGTTGCATGGGATGCATGTTGCATGCACGACTCAGATAGCATAACCAGTTCACTGTTGATCATTTATCTTTTCAGAGTTGGTTGCTGGAGTCCCGAGGGGAGCACAGAACTTTGGCTATGTATGTACTGGACCCACATTTTATCCTTTTTATAGTGAGAATGCAGTTAGACCATTTGTAAGATTAAAGTCTACATTATATTTTCTGTATCTTTGATCGTAAACTTTCTGATCAAAGGAAACTGCCACTGACTTTCACCCTCAGGCTTACCTGGCTGGGTTGAAATGCCTTACTGGTTTGGGCTTTGAATATTAAGCATTTAGTCCTTTCTGAAGTTTGTTTTCAATAGCCAGTTACAAGCATGCTTTGAGTATAACTAGTATCCCTATACCCGCTGAGTGTTTGTTATCAGACCTAAACTTACCCATAGGTTAGCATATTTCATATGCAATGCTGTGTCTGCAGTGGACAGAAGTCCAAGTTCAGATTATTCATACCCAGTGTTTATTTTCAGTGTTTTAAGTATATACACTGAATACCAGATGCCAAAAGTCATGATATGCAGTTAGAAGTGAAGGAAGAAAACAATATACATGTGTGGATACCTCTTTTACCTCATAGGAAAAAAAGTTTCAGAACTAACCTGATGGGGAAACGGAGATCCCAGCCACAGACACATTCTCTAATTTTGTAGACCCAAAAGTCTTTGTGTGTCTGGAACCTATTCATACAATTTTTCAGAGGAAAGGTGTGTATGTGAGTATGTATATATGTATGTATTTATTTATGTTTTAAGTTCATGTTTTCATGCGTAGTAATATAGTCACTGATTAGCTCATAGTCTGTGATTTGCTGCTGTTCACAGTATCTAGTAAGGAAGGAAAATAGTCTTTTCCCCATTTTATTCATGGGAGACCTGAAACTCATAAAATCTTAATGATTTGTTCGAGATCATACAGGAAAACTGTGGTGAAACTAAAGAATTGTTTTTCTTGGCGACTTGAACCATCCTTCAGTGTGTCAGATCTGTTTGCAGTGACATTACACTGTAACATCTCTATATGTGCTTGAAACTTTCCCTTTTTTTCTGTTACTAGGTCTCAATTATTAATTCTTCAGACTTGACCTCTATCCAAAACTTCACTGGTGAACAGGTAATGTCAAGCAACGACGTGATGAAATACTATGTGTCTAGAGGATATAGTTTCAAGAATATATAAAATATTTTTTAGAATTAATGACCAAAGAGAATTATCAGTAAAAAAAAAATTTAAAATTGATATATGATATGAAAGCCTATCTGTTGTTTTTTATTTCCAGATGGCGTCTTATTTTGGGTACACTGTTGCAGTATCTGATGTTAACAATGATGGGTAGGTTACCAAATATATTCAGCTCCACTGAACATTTATAGAAGCAATGCCTGATATTTATTAATAAACACAGGTTTTCAGGTGCTTCGTGCCTCAAAATGCTTCTCTTGGCTTCTCTGCTTTCTAATTTTAGTTGTTCCCATAGGCTTATCTTTGTGCAATCACAGTGGCACAAGTATTTGCAGGCCTAGTATGGGTGAGTTTATCTTCCTGAATATTTGTTCAAAGCAGTGTGGCAGAGTGGAAATGTCCAAAGTCTTAGGAAACAGATCCAGGTAGCAGAACAGTGAATAAACAGTGCTAGCTACTGCTAGGAAGAGAGAGGTGAAAGTCAAAAGTTCATTCTCCCATTCTCAAAAGCAGGTAAGTCTTCTTACATGTGGATCATCCGTAGCTTCACTTCTTGGTTGTAAAAGCTTCCCAATATCATCAGATCCTCATTCCAGCACCAGCTGGTTGGCCTTCCATTTTCATCATCCAGAGGACCAAAAAGTGTCTATGGCCCATAGTTGTTATGACAGGTGTTGTGCTTGTCTGAGGGAGACCGCTGTTGAACTCCCAAGGTCATGCCTAACACTCAGGGATTTCAGGCCTTGTTGAACAAAATACTTGCTAAATTTGAAGTCATGTAAAGTCTAATTAAATGTCTTAGAAGATCAGGACTTTAGTAAGTGAATATTGATACTAGCTTTCTAGCAAGGAGATAAAGATTGCTGAAGCTTAGAGCCATGGAATCCTGCACAAAGATGAGCCAGGATCATATTTAGAGCTGTGCCTATTGCACAATGTCTCAAATGTGTCTGCTTTATATTCTTTTCTTATGATTATTTCTTATTAGGTGTTTAAACATAGTGCATTAAATAATTTTTCTGGGTCAAATCATTGCTTCCCATCAGTGACTAGTGATGCTTTAAAGAGTGAGGGATACAAGAAAAGAGAAAAATAACAAGGTGGTAAAGTGTTATTGCAGTTCCAGAACAAAAGAAACAAAAGAAGCTTGAACAGTTTCTGTGGTGGCTTCATAGTACTCAAATCTTTCCAATTTTCTGAGGCCAAATTTTGTCATAGTACCATAGCTTTTGAAAATTGGTATTTTTATGATATACAGAGTCAGGATTAATTTAGTCCTACCATAATGCATTACTAATGTAAAAGGGTGGAGAAACATTAATCTAAGTTACAATAGACACTGAGAATTTTGGGGAACTTGCTATTTAACTTCTCGCTGAACCAAATTATTTCCTGTGCAGGTTATTTCCTGTGAACTATAGGGTTATTTGGCAGGTCTCATATTTTATGTGTACCTCTAAGACCACAGTTTATGTCAATAATATAATCAAACTGCTGTTGAGGCCTGTGTGGTCTCCCAGTCTATATCTTAAAAGAAATCTAATGACTCTGTCTGAGATCCAAACATCCCACAGAAAACAAAACACAAAAAGCTCTACTTGATAAACATGTCTGATTAGATATGTAGTCTGTCTTTGCTGGTTTGTGCATATAGTCAATAGAAATATTTATCTGAAAGGAAGAGTAAAACAGAGAGAGAGAAAAAAAGCAGAAGGGAAATGATCGCTTCGAATTCACTTGATTTTTTTGTGAGGCTAAGGATAAAGGAGGTAGTGATCGCCTTATCAGTACAAGAAACCTGATTAAGTTAAATGCTGAAAAGTTTAATAGGAATGATGCTTTGCTGTAGTAAGACTGAAGACATGACTCAAAGATTAGGCTTACCCTAGGAAAAAAGCTCAGTAGACCTTCTGCTCCAGCAGTTCTGCAAGTGTTCCAGGGTCACTCTTGCAGTTTTATCTGCAGCACATCAGGATTGTAGGCAGAACAGGGAAATAGAGTATATCATTTGAACTACCATTTAGTTGCCCACTGCTAATAACAAGAAATCCACAATGAAACTTAACATATCAAGCTTTGCCATCAACTTACAGACTACATTCCTAGTAAAGACGAAAAAGGAGAACACTTTCAATTGAACTGAAACAGTCCAATAAAAATAGTGGAATAAACTGTTTACTAGTCTTTTATTTGGCCTATATCAAAGCTTCCCGTAGTTATACTTTGACCTCTTGACATTTCCCATACTCCTGGTTTTTATTGCTCAGCAGGATACAAAGAAACTGCATACAGTCTCCGCAGGTGGTCAGCTTGTGCTTTTTAAAGATATTTTTTATCAGAAGGGAAGCAATACTTGCTGGTTACCTTTCTGTGCTAGAACAAAACTAAGTGTATCATTTATGTTAGCTGCAACATCTTAGTGCAGTAATGCAATAAATCTAATGAACCAGTTCAAAATACCACTGCAAACTGAACTGCACTTTATGGTTTAATAATCCTGTCCAGGGGGTTTTGCTTTTGCTTTGCTCTTATCGCCATTTAAAAGGGACCACATCAACCTGAATTTGGCTCAGAACTCTAGTTTTGTAAATATAATAAAAATAAATAATAAATAAATAATAAAAAATAATAAAAATTAAATATCCTACAGTTTAAAACCCAATTGACATACCCTCCTTCACCAACAAAAATGCATAATTCTAATCACATAGGTACTTACAACCCAACAAGTGACCCCCCTTGACTGCCTGATGTCTAAATACTTAAACTCTAGGAGCTGGAAGGTAAAACTGACTATAAAATATGGTAAGCAACAATTGCTTGCTTATTACCCACTTGGGGAGAAACCAGGAATAAGTAAATGAGGATCGGAGAAAGCAGGGTAGCTAAAGAATCCTTGCTTTCTGGCTATAGTACACTGCTATTACAGTGAAAAACAAACAAACAAACAAAAAAACAAACAAACAAAACCCACACAACCCAAAACCAAACCCCAAACCCTAGAATTGCCTGAGGGAGCATTCCTTCTTGCAGAGGACTTGCTGAAGCAGCTTGCCTTGACCTACAGAGCTCAGCACTGACAGAGAAGGGGGAAAATCAAGAGAGTGAGGAAAGGAAAGCTTTAATGTGACTGGGACACGCCAAGACCTGGAGGGAAGGCAAACTAAGTGCTGTGGGTGTTCCAGGTAGCTCTGCTGCCCATAACCAGTTTAGAAATAGGTCAGTGTAATTTAGATGACTACCTTTGTCCCACTTTTCCCTCAGCACATCAGAAGACGAGCCTTCTTACCTACTGGGTTCTGGTCCCTTCTCCCTGGACTATTCATGCATTTTGTACAATCATTGCAATTTATTTTAACAAGGTAGAAATTTTCCTAGAAAAATAACCCAGCACTGTGCACTTCCAGATGAGATGCTGTGATCCCTGCACAACCGACTCCAGCTCCTGTCTACTTGCTTTCTGTCTCACCTGGTGAATCTTGTATTCTAGGTTAGGCTTCTGCTCAGAGAATTTTAGGCCACTGTGGATGACAGATGGTCTGCCTCTCTCTTTCCACCATTTTAGGGACTATGGATATTGCTCTATGGACCAGAGTTTCAAAGGTATCTAGGTATCTGCTTATTTTACATTGATGTACTGGGAGCTTCCTGGCTCTGAATCTTTGAGTTTCTTACCACCTTTTAAAAAATCTTCCCTTAGTCTTACAATTCTTCATTTTATTCATTGGAGCGAAACTTATCTTTTACTTAATGGTTTATACAGCACTTAACAGCATGGAGTCCCAATCTTACTGGGAATATCTGGACTAGAATGTAATAAAATAATAATTGATGATAGTGCTACTGTGTAATGCTTTTAGTACATGGCATACATAAAATAACAGCATATTTTTGTTGTTGTTGTTGTTTCATGGCAACTGTTTCAGCTGACATTCTGTCTCAACCACAAATATCTTCCATTAGTAGAGGACTTTTGATGTTTAGTGTAAGAGGAAAATCCTACCTTTGGTGTCAAGTCAGCTGCTACTTCCTTCCTTTTTTAGTTATTCATGCCATGGGGTAAAATCTGACATAGAAAGAATAGAACAACTGTACCAAAGTGACCTGACATTTTGAATTACAGTTTCCTTTATGGAAACATCCTGTAAAACTTAATAGAAAAATAACATTTTTAGAAGTACTTTGTCACAATTTATAGAGTATGAAAGTTCTACAATGTGATTAAAAGGCTTCTAGGTGAGATATTCTGTACTAAATTTATGGTATATATCCTAGAACCATAGTATATATCTATGGTAAAGTACTAGCTGAGCTACTCCTAAATCATAGGAGTTTCTTTCTGTCAGGATAGGGAAAAACAATGTAGTAGAATTTTACTAATTGGTTTACTAATGGATAAAGCCTTTGTGAAAACATCACTATTGGGAATATGATGAATTGAGAGCAGAAAATTTTCTGCCAGTTTTACAAAGTTTGAACAAAGTTTCATGTTAGAGCAAGAGAATATGTTTTCCAGATTAACAATTCTGGGATCAAGTAGTACTAGTTATTTGTAGTAACAGGTTTCCTTAATATGGACGACCAATGTCCACTGAATATAATGGGAATTGTCCTATTATTTTGTACGGGCTTGAGCAACCTTCAGAAATTAATCTGATACTATTGTTTCATATCTCAGAATAATATATTAAGAATATTTCTGCTTGTTATGTGTCTATCAGTCTTGATTCATTTTATTCTTTACTGTCCAGTAAAAGATCTTTTTTTCCTGCTAAATAAATGTTGGTAACATGTTTCGAAACACCCCCATTTAGAACAACATGCAAAATATCCTTTGATTAGTCTGCTGTCTTCTACTGATTCTTCTTGGAGTAGCAAAATGGACAGAAGAACTTTTCCCTCCAAGCCTCATATTTTTGTGCTTTTATGATGTGCTTTCTCTTTAATACTTAATAAAGCGAATTACGTGAGCACTGCAGCTACTCGTGTACCTAATATTCAACAGAGGTGTTTTCAGAAATAAAGCTTTGACTTTGTCTCCTAGCTTCCATTTTAATTAGTGATGAGGCATTCTCTATTAATTGATGCTCTACCTGTGTTTCATGTATATTACTTCAGAAATCTGCTGGAAAGTGGCGATTTCTGTTCTGTTGTTCACTTACTGATGTATAATTTTAAAAAGCTAGATTTTATACTACAATTTGTCTCTCACTAGCACACTTAGCAGGATAGATCTACAGAATTTGTTCTAGTCACATGGATCCCCTCTGAGTTAAATTCCTGATTTCTGGATCATTAATTGTAAAGTATAGATTTTCAGTGTCTGTTGTGGGCATAAATTGAAGTGCAAGAGATTCTGTTTAAACCTAGGAAGAAATGTTTTTGCTGTGAGGGTGATCAAACACTGGAAGCAATTGCCCAGAGTGGTTGTGGAGTCTCCATCCATGGAGATATTAAAAACTGGAGTGAGCATGGCCCTGGGCAGCCTTCCCTAGTTGACCATGCTTTGATCAAGTGTTTGGACTAAAACTCCAGAAGTGCCTTCTTTACCTCAGTTAGTCTGTGACTCTGTGGTAATTACCAGCTTCCTGTTTAACAAATGCATGGACTGTGTTGATTACACTCAATCTCTCAGTGACACTGGTTTTTGTTTCACTGTTCTAGTTTAGATGATATCTTAGTTGGCGCCCCTCTGTTTATGGAACGAGAATTTGAAAGCAAGCCTAAAGAAGTTGGGCAAGTTTATCTATACCTGCAAGAAAGTGCTTTCCTCTTCCAAGATGCGCAAATTCTGACAGGTACTGAAGTGTTCGGTAGATTCGGCAGTGCAATCACGCACCTTGGAGATGTCAATCAAGATGGATATAATGGTAATTTATATGTAATGTAGTAATATATATCTCTGTATAACACTGAAATTGAAAATGGCTAAGCAATGAATATGAAGTGTCTGTGCAGTGGCTGAAAAAGGCTTTTTAACATGTAACTGCCTTTGAAAGTCATGACAACTTACACTAATCCTAATGAAACCGATATTGAGGGCCAAACCATGAAACTCTTACCTATAGGAGGGCAGTCATATTGACTATAGTGCTATTTTTTACTGAATATTTGCATGTTCATTTGAATAAAAATATTATCTGTTGTTTTATGACTATAATTTCATTTAACGACTTAGTTAAGATGTTGCATTTGTTTAAAAGCAGAGTTCTCCTGCTCTCCTGAAATGCTTGGGTGAGTTTGGGAATTGAATGAGGTTCAGTAAGTGGAGCATTTTGCCTACAATGAAAGAACTGAACAAGTACAGACATCCTATTTTGGAATCAGACTTCCATTGGTACTTAGGCACTGAAAGAAACAGGTGCATAATGGGAACTTTTTCAAATGCCTATAGCACACGCGTGCAACAAAATGTTCATGTAAGTTAACTGGGAGCCTAAATTCAAGAAAACGGTCCAAGTAAACTAACTTGCCTAAATATCTGAGATAGCCTGGCTGCCTTCAGCTCCTAGAGTTAGCCTTCTAGACATGGTCAGTAACACCCTGATTTTCCCTGCCTGCTTTTCCTTACTTCTTATTTCCAGGGTATTCAGGATCTGCAAAGCAGGCATCTCTGCATCTAAAATCCCAAAGGCTTTTTCCTGGAGGAGATATTTTGCACAGTAGTCTTAAGGATAGTTGGCCCACTAAGGAAAAAGTGATGGATTTAGCTCCTTCTTAACTTGAGGGCTGTTTTTCACGGTGCTCTAGCTGCTAGACTCTAGGGCAATGTGCCACTGTGTGGCTCCTGTTCAAGGGGTAAGTCATGTCAGGAGCCATAGGATTGTATTGGGATTCAGGGTGCACAAAATATCAATCTCATCCTGTGGGAAGAAGCTACTGGATTATGAATGCTGAGAGAGAATACCCTCACTGAGTTGTCCTGAAATCCCACCATGGAGTCCAGCCCAGCTGGACCCCATGGTGGAGACATCCTGTTTTCCACCTGTGAGCAATAGCAGATGCTCTTGGCTTCTCTGGGCAAGGGAGGTTGGTATCACTGCTCTCCAGCATTCTGGTAAGTAAGGGAGGAGACATTACTGTGTAGAGAAGGCTAAGAAGAATCTAGAGCCAAAATCTTCAGCTTCATAACTGAAGATGTCAGTCATAGAGCTTCAGTGCCTTTAGAGTGAAAGTACAAATTCCATTTGCTGAAGTCAAGTTTAATAAAGGAGTCCAGCATCAGCTCCTAGATGAGAACCTGAAAATGAGAGCTGTAGATGCGTATCGTCCTCTAGTGTTTCCTGTCGACTAGCTCAGCTAGTGGGGCTGTTGAATCTCAATATCGACACATGATTCTCTCCACGTCCTATGCATAGGAATTGAGAAGAGCACTGAAGTTCCACTTCTTGGATATGGCATCTCATTTTTTAAGGATTGCAGTGCTCAATTACATAATGCCCAAGGCCTCCTGTTAAATTCCTCATTCAGGATTTTTCCCATTTCTCAATAAGATGCTGGCTTGATATAGATGAAAACATTATATTCCATTGTTCTCTTCTTGCATACTAAAGCACTGGATGTTTGAGAGGGGTGAGGTTTTTTGTTTATGTTGAATATTTTATCTGGAAAAAGAAAATTAATTTCATCTAACAGCTGTTCCTTATTAATTAGGCGATAGAGGAAATCAAGGAAAATTTATGTCTGTTTAAAAATATGGAAGTAGAAGCAGGCATTCATTATATCTTGCTTTATTAGAGCTTATGAAATGCCCTGCAAATACAGCAAAGAAATCCAGTGTGGACTGGCTATTTAGTATAATGTAATTACCCCTTCATAGGATGATTTTATAAGCTTTTGTCATGAAAGTTTGACACAGAAAAGAAACTACAAACATCTTTGTGTATTTGCCTTAAAACTAGAATCCATACAGAAGTACAGAATGTTGAAGTTCTTGCATGTATGTAGCAGAAGCCATTTATGTCTGTTTTCCTGCACGGACTTAATATTTCCTTTATTTTAATTGTGCCCATTCTTTTTATCCTTTTATTGCACTGCAGACATTGCTATTGGTGCACCCTTTGCAGGAGAAGACAGAAGAGGCAAAGTGCTTATTTACAATGGATACAGTAATGGGTTAAATACTAACCCTTCCCAGGTTCTCAATGGAGCCTGGGCCTCACAGTCCATGCCTTCAGGATTTGGCTTCACTCTAAGAGGAGATTCAGATGTAGACAAGAATGATTACCCAGGTAAGATTTTTCCATTAAAAAGGGAATTATCGTACTTCCGTTCTCTGGAAAATGCATCATGCCTAAACTGCTCCTTTTGGAAGGCAGAGGTCAGAATAAAGAATAGACATTTTTGGATAGTTCTAGCTTGCTTTCCTGAGAATTAAAATCAGACAAAACAAATACTCCCTTTCCTGTCAAAAGACATGATCAGAAAGGCAAGAAAGGGTTTAAATAGTTACATTAACATAAAACATGTGAAGTTTACAATAAAAAACTTAACCCTTTCCCCCACTTCCAAAAATTGAATGCTCTCAGCTTATTGAACTTGTAAGGTCTCCTTCATCCTGGCATTCTTTCTTAATTAAAAACATGTTGTGTTGTAGAAGAAGGGATTGACTTGGTTGTGTTGCTAAGTTGTTTTTTGCTGTCCCAAGAGACACTGAGCTATATGTAAATTCTTGATGGCTTTGATCACATTACAAAAAAGCAGAGAGAATGCAAAAATGTTGCTTAAAGGCAGATTATTTCATTTGGGCCTTTTCATCTGTTTTATGTTTTCATTCTGCTATATGGACTCTTCCTTTTTAGGTCAGCTTTGATTCTTCCTTATTAGTTTACCTGACATGCATTAGAATTTATCAAGTTTGTAACATTAGTTGAGTTTCGCTGGGGATGTATTTATTTTTTTAAGAGGCATGTTTGTAGCGTTGTAAGTAGTCTGAATGTTGGAGCTATTTTAAATGTGCTTGTATTTACTCTCTATCTCGTCTAGAAGCAAATCTATTCTGTTTCTTTTCATCACAATTCAGAAGCCTTAGCAAGGGTGTGCAGTAAAACATCGCATTTTCTTATCGTGAAAGGTTCATCCACAGTAAAATGCTAATAGTCTTTACATCCCTAACTTACTGTGAAATCACTTTAGGTAGCCTGGGTTATTTCAAGGCTAGTGTTCTTCAAAGTTGTATTGTTTCAAAAGTGAAAATTATGATTTTTCAAAGGAACAAAAATGGGATCTCTTTTGCCTTTCTGTGATGGATTGTAAAGGTCTTGACAGGGGTGCCTTGTTTCAAAAGCGGAAGAGAGTTTCTGGGAAGGGGTGTTTACAGCAGAAAGTATGGTTTTGCAAACAGAAAAGCTGACTGCAGAGTAATAAACTGAGGCTGTCACAAGACTGAAGTGAGAGGATCTTTAGCATTTGAAAAAAGAAAGGCCTTTTAAAAACTGTTCTGACTTTTTGTTTGCATATTGTTGATGTTGCTATTAATAGTCTTTCATTGTCCATGACTAAATGAGGTTCTTTTGGACAACAGAGCTCTTTAATAAAGTTTCAGCATTTAAACATTTCCTAAAGTACCCACAAGGCCCCCCAGCAAAACCAGAGAAAACAGGATATTGCATTCCTGACATTTCTAAGATTGGAAAGATAGAGAGAGGGAAGGGAGAGATTCTTTCAGGTCTTCTTTGGGTCATATGGGGAAGAAAGAAGAGTAGAAGTCTAACTAGTGTGTTAGCATACTTTATGTGGAGCATCTTTTAAGCTGATTTATGAAAAGTTTGGGTGATGGTCTCAATCTTTCTAAATGTGTACTGAGGAACTGCTACAGTCGTGAGATTTCTTGGAGTTATTTTACTTGTCATTGTTGGCTCCACTATGCATCCTACTTGCAGAATTTCACATTGTGATATCAGCTCACTATGTGTTAGATGGTTTGGTTTTATTACATGAATTACTTATTTTAGCAAAATGCCCCCGCTACATTTACTGTAACTAGCTTTTCCCTCTATCCCTCAGTTGAATATCTGGATGACCAGTCTGGAGTACTGGTAAGAATCTGTCAGAAAATGATAGAAGAAAACCTTGCTGTCAGTCAACCACTTCTTCCTTAATTCACAAAGACTTGAAACACCAAAACAGAGCTGCAAAAATAGCACAACCATGGCACAGTATTAGCACAAAAATAGAAAGCATTCCTATAGGAAAAAGGACAAAAAAGACAGGAAACAATATGGGGAAATGCAAGTCCAGGACAAACACACTAGGCAATGAAGTAAGTAATCCTTCTTGTGTCAAAGAGCTTTTCTTCTTCACCTCCTGACGGAAATGCTGAAGGGCAGCCCTTGTACAAGGAGGAAATGAGGGACTGAACTTGGAAGGACTAGGAAGGACATTTTATTTTAGATGTCAGCTGAGAGGCAAAGTATATGCTGACTATAGAAGGTCTAGGAAACTAGCCTTTAATTCAGTGCTTCCCAAACTACTGTTTGTCACTGTGATTGAAAGAGGGTTGTGAAAGATTAGAAAAAAAATCTCAAATAGTTTCATTTAAGCTTTTTATTGTGTGTATTATAAAATCAACCATTTTACAAAAAGAAAAAAGTAATAAAACCAAATTGTGCTGACTCATCACTCTCAGAAGTTCAGTTCCCATAGACTAGGAAATGAGAGCTAGCTGTAATGTCTGGCTGCAGGTAAAAACATGTATTGCCACAGTCTAAGGTGAGATTCTCCAAGCAATTAACTCTTCCATGGCTAGAGTTCAAGTGTTGTCTGAAGACAAATGAACTCAAAAAGGGACTGCACTTGCAAGAAGTTCAGGACTGACACCAGTTTATGAGGATTCTCATAACTATAGCTGTGTTTGTACAATTTACTCAAGCCCTTGTGCCTAACATTGTTCATGAGGCAGGCATATCCCTGGGAAATAACAGGCTGAGAGATGGGAGTTACTCTGCTATTTCATTTTTAATGCACTGTGTAGCGTTTTCAGAGCTTTTAGAGTTTCAGACCTTCCTCTTCAAATCAGACCTGGAGGCCAGAAGAGGTCACCTGCCTGTGTGGCTTCTCATCACAGACCACTGAGCTACATCCTGAGCTCACTGTATTAAGCCCAGGAACCAGTGCTCTTAGAGACTCAGTTACAAGTTGGCGAATACTGTTCCTAAAAAGTGAGGGTGAATCACAGTCCAATTTTTCTCCTGTTGGACTAAGGTTAAATCCTCTATTGGTTGGGAGTTCAATTCAGGCTGAGATCTACCCATTAGCCTGGAGAAGAGCAGCCATTTGGTACAAGAAGTGATATCTTTCTTTCTTCATCCAAAAGCCAGTACAAGCTCAGGAACAGAGAAGGAAATAGGGAGCAGACGAAGGCTGCCTAAATACTCAGTGCTGTTCAAATCTCCCAGCTTTCCTGTGGATGGAGGAGCGGTTTCTCCTTCCTCCTCTTCCTGCAACTCTTGGCCAGCAAAGGGAGAAAGAGACCACCTCCTGCTTCCTGGTCTTACCTAGGAAAGGCAGAGGAAGACCCTCTTGTCCCCCAGGACCTCACTTGCATAATAAATATGGGAGGAAATTGATCATGGAAAGGTTTAATGGTGGAGTAGCGGAGCAGGCAGGGAAGAACATAATACAGCGATATTGATACAGATGAAAGATCTGTCTAGCACCATAGCCTGTCTCCAGCACTGGCCAACATGTCTCCAGCACTGGCCAACAACAGATATCAAGGAAATTGTAGAGTCTCAGAATTTTCACCCAGCTCTAGTCAACTGGAGGAGCAAGGTGTCCCTGAGTCAGAGGTGCCATCTTAAGATTTAGTAGCCCTTGGCAGACTTTTCTTCCATGAATTTGGCCAATCAGTTGTAGAATTCATGTGAACTTTTGGGACCCACAGCAACCTGTGGCAAGGGGCCCCACAGCCTAACTGCATGTTTTGTGAAGAAGTCATTCTTTTCACTGCAACTTGTTCAACTCTTGAACGTTCCACTGGACAGTTTCTTTGGATGTGCCCTAGTTCTTGTACTGAAGAGACAGTAAACAATTCTTCTTTACTCCACTCCTACTTTACTGACCTCTGCCGTATTCCCTCCCTCAGCTGTATGTTTTAGCAATCCTGTGGAAGGCCTATTCTACTTAATTGTTCCTTGTGCAGAGGCAAATGGCACACCAGTCCTGCTGTAGCAGATGATGGTTCAGTTTGCCATCACTACTGCCTCTTCTTCATAAATTTTTATGTAAAGAGCAGTGTGTAAAGTGTGACTTATGTCTGGCTAAAGCATTGCTTCTAATAAAGATTTTACCATTGACCTGGGTTTTGAACTTACCCAACATTAAAAAAAAAAAAAGCTGTATCTTCCCTACTGAGAAGAAAATCAGAATTAATACTTCACAAAACAATAATTCCAAATCTTTTTCATTGGTATCAGTGATTATGTTTGTGCAAGAAAATACAGTGAGCCAGAAAGAGTGGTCTGGCCTTGAGGCTGTGTGGCACAGCACAACTCACCATCATCAGATGAAACCCTCCTGCCCACTGAAACAGAATGGCCATATCCAAACTGCCTTTTGGGAAAGGTCCTTGGCCCAGGCTATTCCCCAGACCATTCCTGGCCACTATCTGGGACAGTACTAACTTGCACACACTAAAATCAGAGTATGATCTATCAATATAAAAATCTGGACAGTACCAACACAGTGCTCAAGCTCATGCCCTGACTTAATATTTATTTCACTTGTGTAGCCACTCACTACACAAAGCACAGGATAGAGAAAGCTGAATGGCCACCTAGTCAACATCGTACCTAAAAATGAAACTTTCTGTAGTAGGGTCAGCATACAGGCAGGGCTGCTTTTCCTTCTTATTAGCAGTCCTGTCAGTGTAATGATCATCTGTCTTCAGCTGCCCTGGCATAGATGTTACCGCTGTAACAGACCTCTACTTTCAGCATAGTGAAAATACAGGGATTTTTCTAACCTTTCAACAAGGAAGATTCAGGTTTTGCTATTAAGCACAACCCTTGGTTTACATCTCCACAGCTTTCCAGGGAAGGACTTCTTTAAATTGTATCATATTTGCAGACACTCCAGATGTTATGTGCCCAGAACTATTCCTATATCAACATGGATAGGATTGATAATATGCTAGTCTCTGCTTTGCAGTCTCGGAGGTAGTGGGAAACTTTCAGCCCTTGGAAGCAGCAGAGGCTGAAAACTGTGCTGATCATCCTGACAGCCGTGTCAC